AACAAGCTCCTGCCATGAGTCTGGAAGGCACTGGCCCTGGAAAGGAAATTGGTTTGAGTTCCTATCTTATTTAAGTCTCAGAAGAGATGTTCATTTAAGAATTTGTCTGAAGATGCAAAGAGAGAGTATCAATTTATGTTAAATGCCATCGCAGATTATGTTTCTAAAACGTGTAGTGTTTACTTATGACATATCCCTGTACAATTTCAATATAGTTAACACCAACTCGCTTAGTCAGTTAGTCTCTGTTAAAAGGTAACAACACAAAAAGTGTTCCTGCATTCACTATTTATGATTCCTGCTGACAGCAACGCGTTTCATCGGATGTCATAATCAGATGACTGATGACATTGTGCACATGTGCAGGTCACTTAAAGAATGTGAGAGGATGACTGAAGATAACGAATGAAAGTTGGAAGTAAGGCAAAGTGATAAGGGAAGAAAACATGGCATTCAAAGTGGGTTCACCATGACAACTCATTGACAGAGGGACGGATGAGTGGGTGGAAAGGAAGTCACAGAGACGGAGGTGTCGTCCGAAGAACTCCAAACAAGCCAGCCATCCCGTGTTTGTTGATAAAAGTGGGACTCCCAACTGTTAGGTCTGCCGTGCTTCCTATATGTGCAGAAACATGCAGTAGTTGTTTTGGCAACAAGCAATGCATTCATGATTGGTTACTAAGTACATTTTTGTGGGATCCTCTGATTGTTTAATGAAAAAAAAAATATAAATATAAATATGTATATAGTACTGTATTTCTTTTTTTATTTTATAGTAGTGGTTCTCGAAATGTAAATTCCATGTGGGCTTCTACGATCTCTTGGGTGTTCCAGCAAAACAATTTCCCCCTAAATCTGATGGTTTTGGCGTGATGACAGTAAAGAGCCGCAAGAGCCTCAGCAGCTGCCCTGCTTTAGTAATGTAACCCGGGAACAGGAATTCTGTTGCCCAGAGGGAGTCCAAATCTCATGCAGACTCTTGCTCTGATTTCCTTTATGCACCAGACACAGGAGGGACTTTTCCGGGTCACTGTACATCCAAGTGACTGCCCAGAATCACTTTGGGCATTTCAACTTGCCTGTTCTTCACCTTTAAAATGATTCAAAAGGGACGTTGACCTCAACTAGCTTTGCACCTTACATGTTGGTAGTCTTGAAAACAGCCACTGATTTAATTGAGAGAGCTCACTCCTTTTGAGTCGATCGGCTGTTTTAATCATCTTTTAAACAGGTCCCGTGTCACACGTCATTTTTTTTTTTAAATAATCTTTGATGTCCTTTTTGTAATGTACAGGTTAGTGAGATAAATTGGGTTGAAAATGTCCAGGAGGCCTTTTTCAAGCTTTTCTATTTGGTCTTAAACACCTGGTAATCGTACAGCTGGATTTTTCAATAAAATTTGGTAGGTAAATACTGTCAGCTAAGGCTGTCACTATTGGATCCTTTTAGAGTCAAATATTCCCGAAAAATTGGTTTAAAAGTGATTCTGCATTCAAATGTATTGCTAAATTGAAACAATCTCATCATTGTGATGATTGCTGTTTATTTGCCACACAACCAAATCAACAGCAATATAGCAATGTCACACTAGAGGGTGACACCGGAGTGGATTTTCAATCCCGTACCATCCCACCACCACAGAAAAAAAATAAATAAATGAAATTGTACACCAGTCATCACCAGGAGCCAAGCCAAGCCTCCAGCCGCAGGGACCCCACCACAGGGGTGATCCCAAACCAGGAAGACAGAGGAGACCCCCCCAACCCTCCGAGCCAGGACCCCCCTCATGGCAGTATCCCTACAGCCAGAGATCAACACAGCTCCCAGTGTGGTCAGACCCACAGTGAGGAACACTGGATTTAAAACAAGATAAAATAAGACAGGAGACGAGGAGAGGCTTCCCCTGCTGGATAGCAACACCTTTTACTTTATACAATAGTTTTAGATTTAAATTATAGTGAGTTGAGCGACAAAAGAAAAAGGAGCTCATCAAAAGGTTAGAATGATGTCAAAAAAGTCTAAAGCGCTGCTGCGATAATGACTTTTTAAGTGTGTTTGACTATCACATCAACGGCTGAAAATAAATTCTTCTATTCTTTTTCCTCTTCACTCATGCAGCGTATCTGAAGTTGTATGAACATCCAATTTTGACTCGTAACATAAAGAGGGGGAAAAAATGACCAATGAATTGTTCTTTGGTGAGCATCAACCACTGAAATGTAGTATTTTTTAAATTCTTATGCCATCCCAACCAAATATCTGCTCATATAGGCATGGATGGGATGACAATATGGATCTCACATGGATGCAACTTTAGAATTCTCCACACAGATTTTCTCTTAGAAAGAAGTCATGTGCTAGCTACCGTATATTTGTACATGTTTGTATGAAAAGATGTCATAACTGTAGCCTTATTCCACAAAGAATGACTGAAGTGAACTAAACTAAAACAGAAACGGAGGAATAAATGGCATTGAGGTTATTAAAGAAAATGTACTGGATATCATACTTAAAACAGAGTACTTGCTATTATTCCTCCCATATAGGTAAAAGGTAGACAGGTGGCTCGAGCAGGTTATGCATTCCAGACAATTCAGCGCCTCCACCTTGCACAAACAGTGGGAAAAGGCCAAGACTCATTCACAGAAGGAGCAGCAGAGGCACAGGGAGAGCGAAGGGAACGGAGGGGAGGGGGCTTGACTCACCAAGTTCTCTATCCCACCCACCCTGAGAAGAATTCCACAGACCTGTCTGCATGCACGTCATTAAGCAGGACCACCTGCTGTTAAATCAGGACCCCCGCCGCGATCTCAGTAAGCCCGGCTGACACAATCACTGCGGAGCCCGATCGTAGTGATCGAATGAGTGAGCGGAAAAATGCTCCTTTCCGCATACAGAGTACGTATTACGAATGATACAAAACGCTGGTCCATCTCTCACCTTCTTTATCAAGACAAGAAAAAGAGGAAGACAGAAAGAAAGAAAGAAACAATCTTTTGTTTCTCCACTGTGTCAGACTCTTGAAGGAAAAAAGTCCCAAGTGATCCCCACCTATAACCATCCCACTTTTCAACACACTTTTGTTTGAGGTATTGGTCGTTGGCGAATGCTAGTAGATGTGCATTTCCTCTTACTTCTCCTGAATTCTCAAATTGCCAGTGTCAAGTATCTCACACAAAGCCCTTTTCTTGAGGACATGTCTCCCAGTCTAGCTCCCTGCCAGGCATTCTGGAGTCTATCCAACATGTCAAGAATGAGGAGAAAGCATAGGAGTGCACAATGACTTCGGTGGCAGGTAGAGTCTTGTCGCATTGCTAACATCCCAATCTCTGAAGGTGGTGGTTGCAAACAATCCAATCCAATGTTTCATTAAAATGTAGGACTAAAACAAGCCTGAAAGTCAATTTCCCTACCTGGAGGCATGTCAACATCTGGGCCAATTTATAAAGATTTGATGGTGAGCCAAACGTGTCAATCTTGGTGGAACTTTGAAAAGCAGAGTGAAAACATGATAAATCAAGTCTTGGAACCCGTAAATGTTTAGACCACAATGCTGTCTCGGCATGCTAGCACGACACGTATTTATTTTCATCAAATTTCAATTTTGTTTCTACTTTGATACAGTTCATTTGGTCAGGTGTGAACACGTTTTGGGGTTTTTTTCCACATGATTTGTGGACCGAATCAATGAAGGACCTTCTAGCAGCAACTTTGGTGTTGTTCGGTTGTGGTGAGAAATGAACCCAATCTTGTGCTGCACCAATGCTAAATGACCACAGACAATGTAAATAGATGAGACTGTTGACTCGTTGAACACATCTTAGGTTTAGCATGGTCATCATATTTTCACCTGAACCCTTTCAGGGACAGCAGTTACTACGGTGGACAGCCTATCATGTTATCAGGTTACAGGTTATCATTATTGGTGTATGAAAGGGTTAAACTCAGATTTAACTTTGCAAACCAATCAACTCAATTGGAGGAGAGAAAGTGAACTGTAAGTGTAAAAAAAAGCGCACTTACTTTTAACCATTGACTTCTTGGGAGTGTTCTGTGTATTCATCCAGTCAAACGGCGACATGAGAAAATGTCCTTGCCAAGTAAACCGTCCCAAATAAAAAGGCCAAAACAAACATGGATGACAGTAGCCAATCAGTCAGAGCCAAACAGCTACTCACTCCATATCAGCAATTGGGAGGGGGGGATACCAGCACAGAGAATCATGGCAGGATAGGCAAACTCAACTTAATACTTGAAACAACACTTTAAATAAAACCACACACACATCTGAAGTGAGAAATGGGCCCCTTTTCACCTATAACACCCCCACTTACACCCCCCCCCCCCCGGCGCTTTTAGTTTGATCCAAACTTTGAACAGCTGCAATGAGTAAAAGTTAAACAGCGGAAAGCTCACTTCCCACTGGCATGAGGGGGGGGGGCTCAGGTGGCAAGCGTACTCATGAACTTGCAACACGTATTATTCATGGGTACACTGTTCATTCCATAACGGAGATTAACTTTGAAGCAAATCGTGACACGGCGAGCTAATGTTTAATTTATTGAAGTGAAAATGGTGCGAAGCCGTGGTAAAAAGTTGGACGACGGAGCTTATTCTGTTACAAGGTTATAAATGGCAAACTGTTTCACCCCTGACTTCAAATAGCAAGGCAATCGAGTGTAAAGGTCGGGAAACACTCTTTGACCACGGAAGTCTGATCCTTCAGGTGTTCGTCAGGCACACCCACCTCCAAAGCAACAAAGCTCAGAAAATGACTCAGGTGTGCTTGATTCATAAAGTTCTGGGAAACAGAGTCTGGAATCTTGAAGCTATCTCATTTAAGCAGAGCCCAGTGTTTGAAATCTTTACAGTTTTAAGTGATCTTAAGTCTATTTATTAAAAAATAAATAAAAAAAACATTTGTGACAGATAAAGCTCAAAGACAGGAAACGATTTTTAGAATTTGCCATTCATCACATTTCACTGGCATTTCTGCTTACCTTCCACACAGTGTTCCACATCCTCCAGGTTCCGCAACGTAATCCTCATCAGGCTTGAGTTGAGCATCAGTTCATTCTTGTGTTCGGACCCCATCGACTCCGGGGCAGGGTTAAGAAAAAATATGCGAGTATCACCCGTGGCAACCTGATTGTCGCAGATTCCCGTGTTGCCGAAGCCACCGATCATCACCTTGTTGCCACCATCCAAGAGGATTTCACGGTTTATGGTGGTCTTTCCTTTCAAGTAGCGCCACACCCTGACCTATTGGTTAAAAGAGGACAGGAAAACACAACTCAGAACAAAACAGCGGACTATTGTAAAGAGACCTGTTTTATTTGCTATCGAACATATTTAGAAGGATCTGAAGCGTGCGGTTTGGAAAAAGCAGCCCTCAATGCTGAGAGAACTGAAGCGGTTTGCTCACGAGGAGTGTGCCATTCAACCTGTTACCTGTTAAGTGTTACAGAAATTGTTTGACTGCAGTGATTGCATGAAATAAACAAAATACAACGTTTTTTTATAGATATAATACTTTGGTTTCACCACAAAAATTGCAATGACTGATTTGTATTCGTTCATTTTCAGTAGATTTTTTTTTATGACTTTTGTGAATTTCACTTTATTTTGGAGAACGTTGTGTGCTTTTTCTTCTTCGACTGAAGGGTACCAACAGTTTTTTCACGTGTAATTATGTGTATGTTCTTCAACAATGCATCCAGGAGGTTCCTAAATTAGATCAACACAAATGTGACTGGCATTGCATCAATGAGAAAAAAAAAATCAGATAATCAAAATTGAAGAAAAAATGCCACTTTTAAAAACACAAAAAAACGCAAAGGTGGTCCAAATAAAACTTTTGCTTCGTGTTCTCTGAACAAAGTATCCTGGGGATTCCTTCAATGTGATACAATAAAAAAATGTTATTTGAATCCACTAGGAATCCAGAAAATTTTTTAGTAGCGTCAGCAACCACTGGAGTACAAAGATTGTTAGACATTACAGGAAGCGGCATGAGATTTGATGAATGAATTGTCACAGAAGGGCCATTTTCATTTTGGAGGAACAGTCTCAGTTTAGCTACTGGTGGTGGTTTCTGTCTCCGGTGCGAGAACTGTGTGCCTCTAATCTAGTCAGCTCATTCACTTGGAGTCGGAAGGCAAGTTGACCAAACAAGGTTGTTTATTTTGACAGATTATAGAGTGGTCTACCACAAGTCTATTGCGGTGCAGAAGTGCCCACGAAATGGGGAGAGAGAACGACTTCTTCGTCCAAAGCGAAGCACCAGGAACAGGGTGCATTGTTCTCGAATGCTATTTTAAGGACCGCACTCAAAATTTGCAGCCAAAATTTCATACACATCTGAATAGAAATCACAATTACTGCCTATTTTGGCAATGATTACATACATACATGCAGACGTGCAGCTATACATATAAAATGTATATACATATATACACAGAGTACATACACATTCTAAAGCACTTGCCCATATTTGGAGGCTAGCCAGCTGATTTTGGGTAAGACGTGACAGAAACGCAGAACCGGTAGCCAGACAATCACAGGGCACATACAGACAAACAATCATTAACACCCACATTTATACCTAACAATTTAGAGTAAGTGAATTAATAATTCATGTGGCATAATGTAGGAGAATGTGGTTTCCTTCATCTTGCTTCAAGAAAAATGTATCACAAATATTTTGATTTTAAATGTTCAGATCAGGTCGCCACCGGGAGCCATACTAAAATACATAATCGATGACATTAACAATGACGATGATGATAAGTATGGTGCTAATTGGATCCGTTGATCAATGAAGTGAAAAAGCCTTTGTCAAAAAATTGTGTAGATGTTCAACACATTGGCTAAAGCTGTAAACTGCTTTAGGCAATGTGTTGAACATCTATTGATTGGTGACCAAAAAAAACAGAGTATAAGAAAGTATGTTTAAATATATAAGGTAGGTCTTTAAAAAAAAGACACTTTTCTTTCCTAATAATAATTTCCACAAAATAAGTGACATATATATATATATATGTTTTTTTTTTTTTTTGTTATACTGGTTGTAATCCCTCAAGGGGGAATTTCATATGACATGCTACACTGCCCTGTCAAAAATAAACACATTTTGGTCAACAATTGGACTGATGTGCTACTTGATTCAATTTGACGGAACTTTCTGGGTTGTTTTGTATAAATCAACCAATTTTTTTGTCCAAGACAACCCTCCCCCCCTCAAAAAAAAAAAATCGGGTTGTTTTGATATAAAACAATCTAGAGTTGGTCAAATTGACCCAAGTAGGGTCGGTCAAATTTCGGGACCTTTTTTTTTGGGTTGGGGGGAGTCCAGCGTTACTCCATGTTTTTGTAGCATACCACACAGAAAAGCAGATGCCAGCTTTTGATATACTGTACAATGTCAATTATTCCGCCTGCTTTCACATGTTTATCGAGTCTCATCTGTTGCTCGTGGAAAAGAAAACCACTTCCTTTCCAATTGTGTGACAATGTATTGCAAAGAATTTGTTCCCTAAGGTTCTATCCGGGCAAACGAAGTGTGGCGATATAGTTGCATACGCTCGATTTTGTGAAGGTTTTTTTTTTTGTGTGCATACAGCAAGTGTACTGGCTTGCAAGCTGCAAAGGTCACAAACCACATGGAGACGAACTCACCTTGCAAGAGTAGGTGTTGTGCACCGGGTCCATATTTATGATTTCGTCCACTGTGCCCGTCAAAACTACGTTGGCCTCTTCTTCGCGGTCCTCCAAGTCCTTCTCCGGGCAACTGGCCACACAGCACCGCAACAGGACCGCCAGCAGCCCGACTAGGAGCAGCGTTGGCCGCCCGCCTCCGAATCTCCGCTGCGGACTCATGACCGCCGCACAAATTTGCACAAGTTAACTTTTCTTGGGAAATTATCGATTCGATCTCTAATATTAACCACCCGGAGTGTGCGACAACTCCAAATGGTTTTGAATGGGTTGGAATTTTGTCCGGAGGCGCTCCACAACTTCTCTACCGGTTACCCGTGTCTCATGCACTCCGCAGTCCAAGTTTCGCGCATCTATGACCAGGTTGAAAATCTCCTTTCCGCCGCCGCCGGCTGGAAGAGCTGGATGGAAGACAGAGGAACGAGGAGGAAGGGGAAGAGGGGTTTCTCTCTCTCTCTCTCTCTCTCTCTCTCTCTCTCTCTCTCTCTCTTTCTCTCTACAGGAATGCAAGAGCACTTTTCTCTCCCCCTCTCTCACACTCGGATTTGCATGCAATCTGAATAGCTGATCCCACAAGCGTGTCAGTGTGTGTCCTCCGAGGGGGGGCTGCAGGGATGGTCGAGTCAAGTGGTTGATCAAGGGCGCCCCCAGTCGCAAAGACGATGCCCTTACCATTTTCAAAAGTGTCAATTAAGAAGAAAAGTCACGAGAAAGCTGCAGGAGGTGAGCTGCATCGGTAAACAACTGCCATACTACACGATCAATAATGATGACAAAAACTGCACAGTCGACTGTAAGCAAATGAAATGCATTTGATATTTCTCTCATTAAATATTTCCAGTGAGTTGATAAAATGATCTAAAAAAATGAAATAGTGACTTGTTCATATTAAATGGTGAGAGTTTTTATGGCGTATCAGGTCATTTTAACCTTGAGTATTGATATAATCATACCTGTCAACTCATACGGTTTAGCCATAGTTCATACGGATTTTGTGGTGAATCTTACGTATATGGCCATATCGCACAAATCATACGGATTCTGAAAATTTCCGGGGTTTTTTTCTCACACACACATAAGTACTGTATAGAGAAAGTCTCTTTCCTCCAGAATCATGGACCTGCCAAGTGGAGTAAAAATATTTTGATTGGCAAATATGTTCAAAAGTACTCGCAAGTACATTCAAATATACTCGCAAGTACGTTCAGATGTACTCGCAAATACGTATCAGGGATCTTGTTCTTTCGGTCTCGACTCACAGCCTTCCAGTCTTCCACTGATGAGCTCAGAGATAGGAGAACCCACCTCGGAGTCGTTTGGACTCTACTACCTCAAAGGAAGGTGGATCAGTGGAATTGAGGAGGTCTTTAAAGTATTGCCTCTACCGTCTCAAGATGTCCCGACTCAAGGTCAGCAGCACCCCATCTCTACCATACACGTTGTTAATGGTGCACGACTTAAAGTTCACCCAGCAAAATGATGGAGTCCCCAGCAGGTGCGGGATGGGAACTCTGCATCGTTGTTTAGGACCTATCCCTCAAATTCAGGTGCAATTTAACATACAGTATGTCTAATTTCCGCGACGAAATTAAAAGTTTTATAAAGCAGCACAAACAAATCTTTTAATGTTCACATTGACACAATTGTTTTAATTTGCAATCCCAATTAGCATCTTTGCTGAGTTATTTTTGAATCCTCAAAACAATTTTCTAAATGCAGATACTTGACAATACATGTACAAGCATTTGAGAATTGCAGGGAAGTGTTACCTACTGTACAATTTATGGTTGAGGAGCCTTAAGAAACCAAATCCTAATGCTGCACTGGTCGAAGATAAATACACACTGTGTCATATGTCATTTAGGGTCCATGCTTATATCATAAAACCTTGCACAAATGTATAAATGATACCACATGGTTTTATTCTCAGAGCTCCATTTGAGAACAGACAGTGCGTCAATTTCTAGTCCTTAAAAGCTGTAATTTTAACTAGGCGTCTATTCCTGGGGAAAATGACAGGCTTACTCCTTCCTACACAGTTGCCGGAGAAGATATTTGTAGAAATGAGTTCCTACATCTCACTTTTGACAACTTAGTACAAATAGAGAACTTTCTTGGATGGAAGGTAAAAAAAAATGACACCAGGTGAAATATTACAAGGGTGAGTTTCCCCTGCAACGCACCCTTGTGATATTTCACCCGGTGGCTGTCATTGCTAATTGCTTATTCAGCCATGAAGCATGACCATGAATAATCTGAGGTACCAAATCAAAAACACCATCAACATGCATGGCCCGGAACTGATCTATGCGTCCAATGTTAGTCCTCAATCCAATTTTGGGGGATTCTAAATGTGCCTCTATTCTGAGCAGTAAAAACTGGTTAGATCCGCAACAGAAATATTTCCATACACACAAAAGATAAAACAAGAAGTACTTTAAAATTCATGCATAAGTGAAAAGTAAGACACAAATTTGCAAAAGTTTAAAAATGTTTTTTTTTTTTTTTTTTTAATAATTCACAAGAAGCCATTTTGTTCCAATATAATTTCATTTGAAATATTCATCCATAACTTCTGCATCTTCTGCTTACTGGAGCTTGTTCAACAACTAACTGATGCATTATGGCCACAAATTCATGAATGTCTCATGGATCACAATAATAGCGTTGGCATAGTCAATTTTATAACACATGCAGTCCTGTGGCCCCCGGAGTCTGGCTGGTGCAAACAGCAACGCATTTTGCAGCACACACTTGCGCCGGAGCCCTTATAGGTAGAACAACTCCATATTAATTTATTTATTTTAACAAAAACCTCATCCATCTCCCCTATCCATTCATAATATGCCTTGAACCCAATTTATGCTGGCTTTCTGTCTAATGGATGATAAAATACATTCCCCGCTTGATCTTTGGCAGGTGGTCGCTGGGGTCCATTAAGAAATTAGTCTACCGTGAACGCTTGCATATGCACTGCAGCTACGTAGAGCCTGGTTTCCACCAGTTCGCTTTGCCATTGTACAATTTGGAATGGTAAATTCGAATCAAGCATGTTAGTCCACTGTGGGGTGTGTCGGTGGGATAGTGAGAAATAGTAGTAAAAAAAAATAGTAGCCTAAAACTGTGCAGTTTACCAATGTAGGTGGGATAGTGAGAAATAGCAGTAAAAAAAAAAATAGTAGCCTAAAACTGTGCAGTTTACCAATGAACAATTTAAAAGGAGAAAGAATTTTGGAATGGTAAATTCGAATCAAGCATGTTAGTCCACTGTGGGGTGTGTCGGTGGGATAGTGAGAAATAGTAGTAAAAAAAAATAGTAGCCTAAAACTGTGCAGTTTACCAATGAACAATTTAAAAGGAGAAAGAATGAGGACATGCTTTGTTTTGCCGTTGATCGATTAATTTTCTGTGATGCTTAACCTTCACGGGGCTTTAAAGGGGGGACAGTTTACCAAATCAGGTGAGAGGCAGGGTTCATCTGTACTGATCACCTGTCAATCACAAGACTGACACACAATTGGCTGTGTCTAAATTCACAGGCCGGGCTCTTCAAAGGCCGCATTTTCTGCCACAATGACATTACTTATGTTGCAGCTCGACCACACCTGGTGTCCAAATTAACATTGAGCCTGTCCAAACTTGCCATGGTTTATGCGGTCCGTGGCGGCTACATGAGGAAGAACCTTTGAAGGCATTGAAGTACCCAGCCTGCGAAGTGTCTTTCTCGAAATTGGAATCCCTCAATGAGCACTAAGAATCCAAAGACTTTTTATGAACAGGAGTTACAGAAGTTAGATTTAACTGGTTTTAGCTTTCCTCAGTACGGTCTTCCATGGATTGCCAATCGTTCTTGATCTTTACTGTACGTCTCGCTAGAGGAGAGAGGGATTTCTACACAAGGACTCAGTGTCTGTCTTTGTAACGGCCCTTTAAATCAACGCACTGATGTGTGTGTGGCAGAGATGAACCGAGCCAGGGACCTTAAAAAAAGTGCAGCATCATCATGACTGCCTCCTTAACATACTTGGTTTGGCTCTGAATGGCTGTGCAGTTGCATTAGCTAATTGCACACCCCAATGTCATTGTGCCACTTTATGCCCTGTTATTAGACAAGCTGTGCTGACTCAGCTCAGAATCAAAAAAAGGCTGGCTGGATCGAATAAAATTTGCGTCGTTGGATATAAGTGGAAATAAAAGTTGATTTTAGGCGTGATGATGACATGATACATGCTTCGAAATCAGTATATCTGTTGGTGTTGTTACTGTACTTTTTTTTACTTTGTTAATTTAGTATTTTGACTATTGTTTGAGTACACATTTTGTTAGATTTCTCTGACTCCCAAGTCTTCTTCTCTACTTCCCTGCACTTGAGTGCTAACCATGCAAAACCAAAATGCACAAACTGTGGTTTAAGTTTCTCCAGAAAAGGAATGTGGACCAAGGACTTGACTTTTCCATTCATCCCTTATTCCATTTTGTGTAGGCCTACCACCCTTCCTTATTACAAAGGTGTGGCTGAGCTGCAGACTATCACAGCAGACTTTGAGCGAGAGGTGAAGTAGAACGTGGACTGAATGATTGCCACTCAGTTGCAGAGAACAAGAGACAAACAACCTCTCATGCTCAGATTCACACCCATGGGCAGTTTGGAGTCTTCAATTAACCTAGCGTGCGTGTTTTTGGAATGTGGGAGTGAGCTGCAGTTCCCGGAGAAAGTCCATGCAAGCGCAGGGAGAATGTACACACAGGAGGATTCAAACCCAGAGCCTCCGAACTTCGAGGCAGATGTCGTAACTTCTGCTCCACCTTCCTGCCTATCTTGCTGCAAAACCTCAAAGTTCAGTTGACACTTCTAGGAGCACTGCAAAATAATCAGTGATTTGACCTTGGGGCTTGGATATAAAAAAATCTCAGCTACCTTCTTCAAAGTGACAAAAGGTCAACTATAGTGTTAGTCATTGTTAAAGTGAACAGGGATTAATTTACTTTTTGAAACACTTCTGTGACGCTAAACACCCTAAACTAGGAGTGTCAAGCTCATTTTAATCGCGGGCCATTGTGGAGTTACGTCTTCCATCAGAGGACCGTTATGACAGTGAAGCCAAATACATGTTTTATTGTCTCCTTGTATTGTTACGTGTAAACAAAAAATGGATGGATTACTAGTTTTGAAATCACTCAAGTCAACTATAATCGTTTGTTCAATCATTGTTTAAGTGAGTATAAACAGGGTGACAAAATTATTGCAAAATCTCCAATCTTATTTATTACACATGACAATTTGACATTTTGATACAGATTTTAGCAAGGATCATGGAAGTTGACATGCATGATTTGCTTTTGCGTGCCACATAAAATGATGTGATGGGCCAAATCTGGCCCCCGACCCTTGAGTTTGACAACTTGCCCTACACCAGGAATAGACTTTCATGTTAAGAGTAAGTATTTGGTTTTATC